TAGTACGTGTACGGGGTGCCACCCAGCTGCATTCATTTATTATGGTACTGGTTATTGAAATGGTTTTCACCTTTGAGGTAGCAGATGCATGCCCCAGGGCTCGATCCCTAGACCTCACCCGTCACCCGTGTACAGACCCCGCCACCCAATTGTTTGAACCAGCGACCTGTGTCTTGAAAGTCGCCAGTCTGTGTGCTGTAGGTAGAGAGTTAGTAGTTGAGTGAGTGTGTGTGTGTGTCGGGATATCCAGGGAGATCCAGAGTGGTGTGTGTACGAACGAGTTGCGGCCATAGCCGCTTGAGATGAGTTTGAATCTGAGCTGCGATCTTGTCTTCGTTATCTATGAGCTTTGTGTGGGCACTTGGTGCCAGTTTGATCGTCATTTCTTTGTATGCATGCTGAAGTCGAAGTCGCAAGTCTGATTGCATTATAAGGAGGAAGAGGTGATTATGTGAGGGCAATAATGATGGCTGGAGGAGGGAGATGACGTTGGTTCAAGCGTGTTATTTTTTTTCTTCTTCTTTTCTTCATTTTCCTTCTCCCCGTGACCTCACTCCACTTTTTCTTTTGTTGGCATGAATGACATTGTCTCAAAGTTCAGTCTGGCGTAGTGAAATCGACAGGAACATATGATTCTTATCATAGATTTTAGCCACGTGATCTAATGCGTGACAAGATTGTTGGCTTCAGAAGTTCGATTCATTACATAGGTGTTGCTGACAGTATTTGCAATCATGTGAGCTCCTATGAGTGTTGTGCGCTCCGTCATCTTTGTTCTCATGTGTTTTTAAGTTTGTATCCCTTCAACTATTTCTATAGGGGCATGGGATGCAGAATGCCTTTGCCATTCTACCTTTTGTTTGTTGTATGCCTTTGCCATTCCACCTTTTGTTCGTTGTTGTTTACCTTGACATCATCCTAATTGTCATCCTGTTGTGATCTTGTGGATCTTGTGGATCTTGTTCAGATTAATCGAGTGGAATATGTGCATTCAAAGAGTTTCCTTCATCGTGATATCAAACCTGACAATTTTCTAATGGGCTTGGGCAGAAGAGCAAATCAGGTTAGCAATCGTTCAGCTGAAAGGTGTGACAAGTTGACTTTTTTAGTGTTTTTTTTTTTTTTTTTTTTAAAAGAAAAAAAAAAGGGCGACAGCCTTGAGATATCAGCTTTGAATTGACTGGCCCAGGTAATTCAGAATTGTTTTACTCTGTTCATCTCATTGCAACTGGATTCGAACTTGGGTTTGCATTTTAACAGTTCGGGGGTGTACCAACTGAGTGTGAGGATTGATCCCTCAAGTAGGGGCCTTGCCATGATGTACATGTTCTGGGCTAAGGCCCCAGCAAGCCTAGTGCCCGCCCAAGGCGGGCCAGCAAATCAACAAGAGCCCTCTATGCCAACATTTCACGAAGTGGGGTCTATACAGTTGCAGCACGCCAGTTGGTTGGAGTGCACCGAGTCTCGGATTTCAGCAAATGCTGAAATGCCCAGGGCCTCTGAGTTAGTTAGGCCCTGGGCACTTGAACGTGAGGCCGACAATGCATGCTGGGTAGAGAGGCTGAAAATGCCAAAGGGAAATCAGCCCACTGTCTGAATCTGGCCGCAGGCCTTGATGAAGGAGGCGCAACTGCCTTGCCCCGGGGCCCAACTGTATCGAGTTGGCTTCAGCCTCTGGGCCCTGGTCACAGGCTGAAGGGAGGCCGCCCACACGCTGCACTGGCATATAGGCAAGCAGGGCGAGGCAGAAGGGATCTTGGCCAATGCTGGCACTTGCGGGCACGCCGCGCGGATGCATGTGTGCTGCGCCGTGCAAGGCAGTGCTGCGCTAAGAGCAAGCAGGCCAGCGCTAGGCGTTAGGGCGCTGCCTGCACGCAGGGCACTGGCGGCCATAGCCGGGCCGCATGAGGGTGCAGGGGAGGTGAGGGCGAAGGTGGTACTTCGGAGGTGAAGGGCGCTGTGTGGGTAACAAGGGAGAGTGTGGGGAAGAGGACACGTACCTGGTGAAGGTGGAGGTCGGCATTGGTGTTGACATCATCACTCGCTGGTAGTCAAGTTGTCTGGTTGCTTTTCATTGCTGTAGTTGTANTCGGCATTGGTGTTGACATCATCACTCGCTGGTAGTCAAGTTGTCTGGTTGCTTTTCATTGCTGTAGTTGTAGGATAGCTGTAGAGTAGATAGGGTGCCTGGCGCCATTCACAAGAGAGAGCTACATTTGGGTTATGCTGTTGGTGTTGCCCTGTTGGGCATGGACATTGACTCATGATTCTTCTGTATCATTCTCAATTGGATGGTTACTCGGTTCCATGTGCTATCTGCTTTGGCTTTGACTACTTGGACTTCAGTGTGATTTTGCATTCTGGATTTCTGTGCTTCGTCCATACTCATGTTCCTTGCATGAGCTGGGCTTGTTGGTACAAGTTGACTTTAGACTGTACTTCCTTTTGTTCAGTGTTTTGCATTACATTCTTTGAGGGCAAAATGACTTAGCACCCTTGTCTCAAACTTTTCACTCATGCCTTCCCTGCTCATGGAAAGGCTGCTAGTGTTCACTCTCATGATAAGCCTTAAAATCTCTTATTGCATTCAGTTACAGTACTGCTTTTGGTATCTCTAGGAGTACGACGACATGGACATGCCCATCCAAATGCAGCACTCTTTGCGAGTCATGCAGCACTGCCTGCCATTTCCTTTCAACAATGCAAAATGTGGCCTTTCCAGAAGTGGACTCGTTTAACGGTCTCCATGTTGCCCACAGTTTTTTTTTAGGAGATTAAACATCAGCCTGGAGACCTGGATCACAGCAGTTGACATGAGTTTAAGCGGCGAGTGGAGACCCCTCTCCTCCAAGTAGTGGTGTGTGCAAGATTTGAATTACCTCAACTTCTCAAATTATGGTTTTGATTCATGGCGATGTAATGAAACGGTATTCACCTGTTCGCAGTAGCGGGTGCAGATCCCAGGGCTCGATCCCTAGTCCTCACCTTACCTGTGTACAGTATCTGTGTCGACCCCGATAGTTGAACCCGTGACCTGTGTATTTGTAACAGTTGGTAGACTGTCGTAGGGTCCGTAGGTGGTAGGGGTTCGTTCTGTAGACCTGTTGTTTGTAGGGCTTATTAGGTCCTAGAAGTCGTAGCTGTAGGACTTCTGAAAGGTCAAGGTCGTAGCTGCTACAGTGTCGAAGGGCCAAGTCCACAGACTTCCGGAAGGTCCGGAAGTGGCCCTTCACTCGTTGTTGTACCAGAGGCAAGTGGGCAAGTGGTGGAAGTCCACCTGTGCTGAGTCAGCGGTACCCAGTCCCAGTCAGTCCTAGTCCAGTCAAGCAAGTACCGTATGGGACTGTGTGCACCACGGGCATGGGAAAGGGGCAGACCAACGAGTTACAGAAGTGTAAATGAAGAGGCAGCGCCCAGCCATTCATTCATTCCTGCGTAAGCCATACGGAAGCACTGCCACAGCGACTTGTGCGAGGTGGTCTGCAGTATGCCCGAAGACGAAGTGGGCGAGGAAGGAGAGCTTAGCTATAGTGGTAGAGGTAGTAGCGGCCATAGCCGCCATAGCTGGAAAAAGGGTGTAGTGTGTGTGTGCGTGTGGGTACAGTGTTTCGCGTGTGGGGTATCCAGGGTGATCCTAAGTGGAGTGCGTGTGAACAGCAGAGTTGGGCGCAGTGACGAACAGAGAATTGTACAGGCGCTGACACGCCATATCTCCGAGATTTGAGTGGGCGCTTGTCGCCGGTTTGCTGTGCTACCTGTTTGCATGCATGTGAAGTGCGAAAGAAAGTGAGTCTGATTGCATGTAATGACCTTCAAAATCACAGACTGAACGACCTGTTATCTCCTGAGTATTGCGGCTGAAGTGAGTGACTTGCTGAGATTTCTAAGCGTATGTTTGTGCACGGTTGCTCAGTTTCTGTGTGTTTGCCTGTCGGCATGATTGCTTGGGTGTAATTGTGACCCACCAGGGTACTTGTCTGCTGGGAAGGCCCACAAGCCTGGTGCTTATGTGTGGCCGTGCTGTTGTGAGGGTGCAGCGAGGGATTAGCAGTACGATAGGCCCACGTAGGTTGGAAAGCACTCAGGTAGCCGGTAGCTAGGCAGAAGATGACAAAAAAGTTAGTACCTTTAGAGGCCTGAGTGATATTTAGAAGTCCAGTTGGCTTAGAGTCTAGGGGTACTGATCCAGTTGTATGAGTCTGTGGCCTGCGGAGGAGAATATCAGTCCGCAATTTTGTTCTCTCCCATTCATGGAGGCTGTGGTCCTAGAAGGCAATGAGCAAAGAGGCAATACTTTTGTATATCTTCACTGGAGGCAAGAGGCTCAGTCTGATTTGCAACTTGCAAGTTTGGGCGACACGCTGCTGGAGCGAGGGCTCAGCTTAGTAGCGATGGGGACACTGGGGAGTAAGAAGGTGGGCGTGGCCCTCCACCTTAGGTATGGAGGAGAGGTTTAAGGAGGGGATTCCTGGGGAGTAGGAGGAGGAGGAAGAAGATGGTGAGCAAGGAGGCAATTGACACGGGAGCATACCTGCCTTAAGTGGTCTGCATCTTCATCTTCTTGCACTGCACGGGGAAGTCCCCAGTCGGGGACTGGCACCTAGTAGAAGGGACACATTTCCTTTGCATTGTCCTTTGAACGTCGAGGCTTTACTCCCATAGTCCACCATAACCACCTGTTCCACCAAGTAGGAGGAAATGTATAAGATGGCTACACTGAACCTGTTAAGTGGCTGACAGTGAGGGGAGGACTCAGGCCTTGGGTCTGGTTCATTTTGTCACCGTTCTCTCTTCAAACCATCAAAGTTTATCAGCCCTTGGCTGAGTCAGAGCCCGTTGTGGCCTTTTTTTTCCCATCCGATCGTGGATCTGGGGGCGGAGATTTGTCCTGACATGCTTTCTTTCGTTGACACCTGGTGGTGTGTTAGGTGGGCAAGTGGATAGTCTAATCGGCTGTCTATGGTGTCAATGGACATAGAGAGCTTCTGCGAATGTGGGAAAGTGTCAGAGGATGTCAGAGATTGTGAGGGAGTGTCAGGGAGCGAATTTGTCAGAGGTGTCAGAGCACCTTGATATCTCTTTTGGCATGTTGATTTTCAAAAACAAGATCAGGTGAAAAGTTAAAAATAGAAAAAAAAAAGGAAGAAGATGATGTAGTTTTTCTTGTTTTGGGCAGCTGCGATCCATTTGTTCTCTGGCCGCTGCTATTCATTAATCGGTGGGCACCTCGTCTCGTTTTTTTGTTGCTGTGATTGGTGTGTTGTTTAAGCCACCTGTCCCCCCGACGTCGAAAACTCGGGGGGGGGGGGGGGGGGGGGGGGGCGGTAGTGTGGAGAAGCAGCTTAGTGACAAAAACGGAAAATGCACTGAAGCGCCACCGCGGTTGATTTTGCTGAGATAAGGGCCTCCCATGGATATTCAGCCCCACCTTCACTTAGGGTGGGTACGAGGCTTGGTGGGGCGTGCCGGGGGGGCCACGTTCCAGAACATGTGCGTGTTGGCTAGGGCCCCATGAGGACACATTCCTCACATTTCATTCCCCTCAGCTTCGAAAGTCCGCTGAGATGCTTCTTAAGCAGGAGCTGTCCCCTTCAACCTTCTGTCATAATCTGCCACAATTTGAGGGGCTGTTTCAATCAGTTCCACTCTTGTGAACCACCGGTCTTCTTTTGGATCCGTGTGATGCCTGAATCTCTTGGGTTTCTGCGGTCTTCCTGTACCCACAGGCTTGGGAACAGGCATGTCTCTATGTTCCAAAATATCGTCAACGTCCACATGGCCATCCATGGTTGGGGCCAGCATTGATGGGAACTGCTGTGTCGCAGCGAAAAGGTGTTGGCTTTTAGGTGTGAAACACATGGTTAGTGTGTAAGTGACCAGGGATACAAATAACGTACAAGGAACCGTCCAATTCATTAACCTGTTACAATCCTGGCCGATTTCGAAGTATACATTCATCAGAAAGTACAATGTCGTCCAATTGCAAAAAGAAATACTCCAGCATAGACCAATGACAAGGCTCTTCTTCTTCGCCAACCAATCTCCTCCTCCGTATCTCCTCCC